TTAAGGGTAGTATATGCACAGATGTTGCTCATCTTTGTATATGTAAAATGGAAGAAAGAAATATGTCAAAAGAAAACAGAACAAGTTCAAAAAAAAGAAGAGGCTTGTTAGAGGAAAAATTTGATGTAGTTGAACCTTATCAATGTCATAGCAACACTAAAATAGGACAAGCTGTTGGAATGGCTAAATCTACAGTGCGCATTATTATAAAACATGCACGGGAAATTTTAAAAAGGGCAAAGTTGCATTACCTTTTTGTTGTTTGCAAACATCTACAAGGAGATTGAGACATGTTTTCATCAGTGTAAGATTACCTTTAGGAATGATATTCAAAAAAATTTGTTTTTAGATAATATTTCTACAGCCTCTATGATGTTGTTAATAAGTTTAAATTGTAGATATATTCTTTCTATTCTTTACTGTAAAAATTACTAACACATATAATTTATGTTAGAAATATTTCATTGCCTATTTCTGTCAAAGTGGAACCAATTACCCTATTTTCCATAGAAACATCAGCTCAAATAGTGCAAATTCAAATAAGGTGGTCATTTTGTGGGATTCATTAACTGCATTAATCAAGACCTAGCTGTATCGATTAAGGATTTGATTTTGACAATGGTTTTAAAGTGTTGAATTTATACATGATCATCCTTATATGCAATGCTAATCCAGTATTATTTTGAAAATTCCGAATTAAGGTATGTGTCTCTTTACTGTTCCTTTATTTTTTATCTCTCTTTTTGCTTAGTTGTGTTTCTTAAATATCTGTTTTTTAAAAAGCCTGAGTTGCATACAACCAGATAATCAATGTATGGCAGTGTTGCCTCAAGTTTTCTTTGTAAGAGGCTATCCGTATTTTTGTAGCCCAGGTTAAGTACACTATACTTTGTGTCAGTTTCTTTAGTTCAGGGGTGTCAAACTGCTGGCCCGTGGGCCGGATGTGTCATCAGGAAACCATGCCCACTCCATTGCCAGCAATGGCAAAAAGCTTTGATACGTTGCGCGACATCACGTGACGTCACAAGTTTGACATGTCTGCTTTAGTTCCTAAAACTGATTATTGTAACCTTTCAATATTAAGTAGTCCTTAACGTACATTCTTTTATCAATTGTTTGAATTTCCAAAGGCACTGAAAAAAGTAATTTTCAATTGGTCCTCACACGTAAGGCTGTCACAGCATTCCCCAGGTTCATGTGATCAAACTTCAGGCACTTAGCAGCTAGCATGTATTTGCAATGGCTGCAGTGTCCCGGGTCATATGACCACTATTTGCAACCTTCCCAGCCCGCTTCCAACAAACATGGGCAATGAGGGAAACCAGATATGTCCAACAACCATATGATTCACTTAATAACCGTGGCAAAATGGTTGTAAAATTGGGTGCAATTCATTTAATAATCACCTCACCTAGCAACAGAAATTCTGGCCCCAGTTGTGATCACAAACTGAGGACTGCCTGTAGAGTTATTGATCTGGTGTGCTTAGAGACTCCCACCCCTTTTTTGTTTTCTCTCATTCAAATTTAGACTCTACCATCTTGCTTGCTGAAACTAAATTACCTGCAGGAGTGGCAGCTTCACAGAATTAATTTGATCAAAATCCCTCAGTACGTTGGTCGCTTTCAAAATCTCATGGTCCTAGATCTATCTCGAAATTCTATTGCAGAAATTCCTAGGGAGATTGGTGAGTTTCATGTCAACATTCCTCCTCGTGATTACCTCTTCAGGTTGGGTTTTGAACTAGGAAGTTCCTTAAAATTAAGGAAGTACTTAATTTTAAAACCTCTTGATTAAACAGCATAGGCTTGAAAGAAATCAAGAGCTCTGTTCTTTGAATATGTTACATTTTTAACTTAACTCTCTTTGTTTCTTTGAAAACATTTATGGTGCTTTACAGCAGGGCTTTTCAATCTTTTCACCCATTGTACCACTTTTAGGATATGGCAATATCCGAGTACCACCAGTCGCCTAGCAAGGTGTCAAAAACCTGATGACCCCCCCAAAAAAGTGATAAAGTACAGGTAGTCCTCAACTTACAACAGTTCGCTTAGTGACTGTTCGAAGTTACAATGGCACTGAAAAAAGTGCCCCCCAAGCCACAGCCGAGCAAGACACCTGCCTGCCCACCCGGCAGCACTCTTCCTCCTGTCCGAGGTTTTCATTGTTCTGAGCATTTCTGTTGAGGATTGGCAGCGGGGGTGGGTGGGAGGTGTTTGGTTTTTATTCCCCCCGTCTGCTGGGTGGTTGCAGCAAGTTTTGGTCACTTCACATGACCCTGGGACACTGTGAATGTCATAAATATGAATCAGTTGTCAAGCATCTGAATGTAACCCACCGGTCTGGCGCGGCAGCGGCCTGGTGGCCCAGCGCGGTGACGGCTCGACGGTCCGACCCGGGGCTATGGCGATCCGGTGGCCCGAGGTGATGGCGGCTTATTTTCCCCCGTTTATGGGACTTAAAGACCTGAGAACTCACCATCCTTCCTCAATCCATCTTGCCCCGTTTGAGACTGCCATCACGAGGAC